GCCATTGACTTGCTCTGGGCAAGTTGGGGATTATGGGTTGCATCTTGCTTCTGTTTTATCATTTTGTAAATTTGTTTTCTGTGTTGAGGTTCATAAATTGCTTATGATAGGTAGCTTTTTTACTAGTATTGAGACCTCTTTAGGAAATAACTGCTTTTCAGAGATGTCTTCTAGGCATAGCTGGCTTTTGGCGTTTGAGTCTGTCCCAATTTATTAGGGATGAAAGGTTGCTGCCTGTTTGGCCTAGCACCCAATTCTTTCTTTTTGGTTTTTGTTTGTTTGTTTGTTTGTTTCCTGTACCGGGAATCGAACTCAGGACCTTGCGCTTGCCAGGCAGGCGCTGTGCTGCTGAGCTAAATCCCCAGCCCCTAGCACCCAATTCTTTGGGGCCAGACTGTAGTATTTTTTATGACCCTCAGATAATCCACCTTACGAAGTCTTGAGTTGTGACCTGAATGCTGGCCACTTGTGCTTCCAGATGGTCTCAGGTAAAGCTTTAACCCTTGGTGGTGGCAGGCAATGAAGATCAATTGACCACAACTATGTCACGTTGGCTAAAATAGTACAATCTATAATAATAGCATCAAGCACAGTTTAGAAAATGACAAACTATGATAACTATTAATTTGCTAACTTTAACCATAGGTACGATGTATAGCTATATGACAAGATCCAAGACAGAAAGTTATATACAGTAAATACCCACTCAATAGAGTGATTTTACTCTAAAAGGAGACCATTTTAAAGACATCAGAGGAAAAAATAGATAAATAAAAGAAGAGAAAGAGATTAGAAGCAAGGCTGAAGGACAAAGGAAGATTTTTCCAAGCCTCAGGAAACTGATAAAGAAGACAGAAGGGAAAGAAAGAAGAACAGGAACAAAACAAGACTAAAAATGTGTTCACATTCATGAAAAAGCAAAAACAAACAACTGGAAAAAAGAAGGAAAGAAAATTCTCTATGACTTCAAGCCTGTGGTTATTTTCTGGGGTCTATAGTTTTGTGGGCATGACGAATGGTTTCACTTAAATATTTCATAAATCAGCTTTTATTTTCTATTTCAGTATTTTATCACTATAATATTGTTCTGCAGAGGAACCACTTCGGTATGCTTATTGGGCCTAGATAAGATCGTTTAAGTGAAGTTACCGTGGACCCCTGACTTCCGAACTCAGTTCATTCTCCAGGGCTGCTTATAACCAGGTTGGCAGTTGTGAAGCTCGGGCTCCTCTACACAGCTGTCACTCTCTCCTGTGCACAGGCAGCTCTCACTGTCCTTAGGAAGACACTGGTCCAGGATTGCTCAGTAACCCCTTACAGGACAGGATTTGTAACGTTCCTTCCAGGACTCCTAAGGGTTAAAGCTTTACCTGACACCATCTGGAAGCACAAGTGGCCAGCATTCAGGTCACAACTCAAGACTTCGTAAGTTAAAACTAAAATCCCAGGCATAACCCAAGTTGTCAGGCCGGCTGTAACCCGATGGTGCACTGTATGTGCTACAACATTTAGTTGTGGATGGGAAAAACCAAATATCTGCCGGATAGCAGATCTTGCTAAGAAAAGAGTTTAAAGGACTGATTTAGGCTTAACACATGAAAAGTTTCCTGAGTATAGACTGATTACCAGAAAAGGAGTTCGGAATTTGAGAGGTGACCGTGCCCCCCTCCGGAAGTTGTTAAAACTGGGTTTTTTTGGTTGGTTTGGAGTATGACCTCTGAAGGGTCTCTTCTGAGGATTTTATGACTTAGTAGCTTTTGTATCTGAGAGAGAAAATTTTGAATATGTGCCTTTGTTTTTTATTTTAATTTGGGATTGTTATTTAAGCTCTTGAATTTAATACACTTTCATGATCATAGAATACATGTTCTTTTTTTGAGGGGGACAGGGTTTTGCTTTATAGTTCAGGCTGGCATTGGACTCACTGTGTAGTCCAGGCTGGCCTTGGACTCCTGGTGATCATCCTGCGTCAGCTTCCCAAGTTCTGGGTTACAGGTGTGTGCCACCACACTGGGCACAATAGATGTTACTGATAATGGTGTGCCCACTTCTTATTCCGACAGCAACTTTCTGATTGCCCCATACTGCGTCTTCTGCTAAAAGAAATGAGTTCTAACTTTTGATCCATACACTTAAATACAGACACTGTACTTTAGTCTTGTCATCCCTCATCGTTACTACCAAATAGACCTAATAAAGAAAGAGGACTTTGAAAAAAAAGTGCAGTACAATATTTCACAATATTGCTGTGGTATTTCCTGCTTCTGGCTTGACATATTTTAAAATGTGTTTTTGCTGGGCGTGGTGGCGCACGCCTGTAATCCCAGCATTCGGGAGGCTGAGGCGGGAGGATCCTTGCGAGTTCGAGACCAGCCTGGGCCACAAAGTGAGCTCAAGGCCAGCCTGAACTGCAGAGTGAGACCTTGTCTCAAAAAAGACAAAAAAGTAAAATAAAATAAAATGTATTTTCAAGTGTATTAGATGTACTTTTTTTTTTTTTTTTTTTTTTTTTTTTTTTTTTTTTTGGTCTTTTTGAGACAGGGTCTTGCTATGCAGTTCAGACTGGCCTTAAGCTCACTCTGTAGCCCAGGCTGGTCTCAAGCTTGCAACGATCCTCCTGCCTCAGCCTCCCAAGTGCTGGGATTACAGGCGTGCACCACCACGCCTGGCTTAGATCTACTTTTTATACAGATGGCTTTGCATTCTCAGCTTCTGGCTTGATAAGCATCATCTGTATTTCTGAATGTATTTTGAAGTATAAGCTGGGCATGGTGGTACATGCCTGTAATCTCAGCATTTAGGAGTTGAGGCAGGAGGATTTGCTCCAAGTTCAAGGCCAGCTTGAACTAGACAGCAAGATGCTGTCTCAAAAAACAAACAATCAAGTATATTAGATGTACTTTTCATAGAGTACTCTATCCAAATGCAAAATGCAAAGAAAGCCTCATAATATTAAGTCTCAATTTATAGGCTCTTGAATTGTTTATAAATATTTTCATAGTACAACTAAGTGAGGCTATATCTTGATAACATAATTAAATAGTTCAGTTTCTTCAAGGGTCATTTATGGTTTTGTCTGACTTTTAAAAATTGTTAAGTGTGCATTGTTTTGTCTGCGGAGAGAGATGAAGTTTGGGAGTTAAAGGAAAATGTATCTGTTTAATTTTGTCTTTTTTTTTTTTTTTAATTTTTTTTTTGTCTTTTTGAGACAGGGTCTCACTGTGCAGTTCAGGCTGGCCTTGAGCTCACTTTGTAGCCCAGGCTGGCCTCGAATTCACAGTGATGATTCTCCTGCCTCAGCCTCCAGAGTGGTGGGATTACAGGCATGCACCACCATGCCTGGCAAATTTTGTCTTTATCTAGTCGCCTTTTTCTTTTTAGAATGTGGCTTTCCTTAGAAATAAGCTAAGCTACAGCAAACAAAATGATCAGTAAAGAGACAACCTATAGAATGGGAGAAAATATTTATAAACTATTCATCTGTTATAGGGATTCATTTCTAGAATATATAAGGAACTCGACAGCAAATAACAACAACAATAATAATAAAGTCTTTTAAAACTCCACAGATAATCCAGTTAAAAATGGATAATGGCCAGGATAAACATTTCTCAAAAGAGCATATAGGAGGGCTGGGGATTTAGCAAAGTGGCACAGCGCCTGCCTGGCAAGCGTAAAGTTGTGAGTTTGATTCCTGGTACTGGAAGAAAAACAAAAAAACAAAGACAAAACAAATTGCAAACTAAAAGAGCATATAGGTATAGTCCTGGAAAAAGTAAATACACAACAAACAAGAGCTGGGGCTGTAGCTCGTAGCGCACTTGCTTGGCATAAGCAAGGCCTTGGGCTTATTCCTCAGGAGGGAGCGGGTTTCTGTATAAATGGTTCAACATCACTGATCATTAGGTGAAGACAAATCAGAATCACAGTGACACATCATTTCACTGCAGTTCAAATGATTGCCGTGAAAGAGACAGAAAAATCACAGGTGTTGAGGATGCGAGGAAAAGGGAGAGGGTGTACAGTCTGTGGAAGTGTAAACCAGTGTGAGCGTTGTGCAAAACCTCTGGAAGCTTCTCAGAAAACCAGAAATAGAATTAACATATGACCCAGCAGTCCCACCCCTGGGTGTGCTGTATATCCAGAGGGGTTGCAATGAATATGTCAAAAAGACATCAGTATTCATGTTTTTTGTAGCACTGTTCATAATAGGCAAGATAGGAAATCAACCTGTGTCCATCCGTGAATAAATGGATAAAGAAAAGGTGGTATATACACAAGGGTAATGTTATTCAGCTGTGAAAAATAATTCTGGTAATGGGAAGGGGTGTATAGCTCAGGGACAGTATTTGCCTAGCATGCTTGAGGTCCTGGGTTTGATCCCTACCATGGCAAAAGGAGGACAGGGGTTGGAGACAGGGAGGGAAAGAAAGAGAAATTCTGTCATTTGCAGCAGCATGCATAGAACTGAAGGACAATACGTTGTGTGAAACAGGTTGGGTACAGAAAAACAAATACCAGCTCCAAATATTCTCACTTATATGTGGAAGCTAAAAAGTTGATCTCAAAAAATAGAGGCTAGCCGGGCGTGGTGGTGCATGTCTGTAATCCCAGCACTCAGGAGGCTGAGGCAGGAGGATTGTTGCGAGTTCAAGACCAACCTGGGCTACAAAGTGAGCTCAAGGCCAGCCTGAACTGCATAGCAAAACCCTGTCTCAAAAAGACAAAAAGAATAGAGACTAGCTGGGGGTGCGGTATATACTTGTAGTCCCAGCATGTGGTAGGCTGGGGCAGGAGGATTATAAAATCAAACTCACCCTGGCAACTTTGTAAGACCCTGTCTCAAGAAAGATAATTAAAAAAAAAGTCTGGGGAAAAAAGCTCAATGTAATGTAAAGACCCTGAGTTCAACCCCTAGGTCTTTGGAGCTTGATCATACCAGATGAAGAGCCTTTGCTGTCTTAGGGGTCCCTTCTAAAACATCTTTTTATGTTTTACAGGAGTCTGAATTTCTGTGTTTGGAATTTGATGAGGTGAAGGTCAACCAAATACTGAAGAAGCTCTCAGAGGTAGAAGAAAGTATCAATGCACTGATGCAACCAGCCTAACTGAAGACGATGTAGGAAAGAGTTGGAATTATAAAGCAAAGGTGTTAATGATCTCACCCACTTTCACAGTCCTGTTCCCCCACTGGTATTAAATCCTCAGTGTCAAATCCTGCCTGCCTCCGCTTGCTAGGGTTCTTTCACTCTCCCTTTCCCTTTAGTTCCCTTTTCTTTTTGCGGGGAGGAGGGTGCCAGAGATGGAACCCAGCGCCTCATGCATTCCAGGCAATGTTTTACCTCTGAGCCACATTTTCAGCCCTCATTCACTCTTACAGTTGCTCCAGTGCAGAGGTCCTCGTACTTCAGCATGTGTAAAGACTATAAGGGGCCAACTTGTAAAACTATTTAAATTTAAAAATTTAGGCTGGGAATGATGGCACATGCCTGTGATCCCAGGACCTGAGAGGCTGAGGCAGGAGTGTTACCACAAGTTCGAGGCCAGCCTGAACTACATAATGAGACCCTGTCTCAAACAACCAAATAATCAATTAATCCTGAGAGACTTTCATTCAGTAGGATTGGGGTGTGGAGGCAGAGTCAGCCTTGGAAATTCTTCCTAGGATCCTTTGTTCCTGGGAGAGATTTTTTTATACATGAAAAATTGTGTAGGAATTTGAAAAGGAACAAGAAAATATCAGTCATGCAAATATAGTGCTCACTGAAGTGTCATATGTCCCAAGGTGAGGCCTAAAGGAGTCTTCCTAAACTAGAAGAATCTGCCTGACCCTAGAGGATATTTCTGAAATTAATTTGAATACTTGGAATACTTATGCCTAAATTTGGAGGAGTCTGGTTTGGTGTGAGCTACCAAGTATTGAGGACCTGGCCAAGATTCCCATCTGCCTATACGAGGGGTATGGAAAAGGAATAAGTCAGAAACAGAGACAAATTTAATAATGCGTGACTGGGGAGCGGGAGGTCAGTGCCTCAGGATGGGCAAAGACAAAGACACTCTGAGCTATGTGTTGGGTATATACAATAATTGGAGGGATTATTGGATGACTCAGGTCAGTGAGGATCTTTATGTTGATGAGGACTGTGGGCAGAGATGGCAGGTTGAGGAGGAGTTTGTCCTTTCCCCAAGGTGAAGCTCCATTTTTATAACTACTGGTTTCTCAGGGAACCAGTATGTCTTCAGCTGGTGCAGTCCTGCCCTAGGGCATCACAGCACCACGGGACCTTGAGCCTCAACTGTGACTGGAGGCCAGTGCACACCGTGAGGCACTAGGCCTCAGACAAGCCACAGTCATAACTGAAATACGAAATTATTTTCCAAAAAAAATTATATAGAGTGATCCCTGACGGAAAGACTCAGGCTTTTCTGGAGCCAAAAATTAAACTGGTCTTGTAACAAAAACACTCTATATCTTCCCTTGCTCAAGTCAGGCTTATGGTAAGGGAAGTACCTACTGAGTTGATGTGAAGTTTTTTACCTCAGAAAATTTCACTTGAGTCATCAAATAAAAACCTGTTTGAGAAAATATGTTCAAGGAGAATTAGTGTAAGGAAAGCTGGGTTCTAGAGGAGAAGTATGTTAGCTTTCCATTACCGAAGCAGGATACCTGAAATAGACAACTTAGAAGGAGGAAAGACTTACTTTGGTTCATGATTTCAGAGGTGACCATCTCTGGTCACTTGGCTTCATTGGTCTGGGGCCTCTAGTGAGGCAGATCATGGTGAGGAGCACATGATAGAGCAAAGCTGCTCACCTTAGGTTTGCTGGAAAGCAGAGTGAGAGAGAGATGTGAGGGAACAGGGTCCCAGGAGTCCCTTCAAGGTCAGGGCCCCAGGGACCTAACTTCCTCCCCATAGGCCCTACCTCCTAAAGGTTCCACTGCCTCCTAGTCTCGCCACAGGCTGCTGACCAAGCCCTCAACACCCGCCTTCGGGACGTTTAATATCCAAACTCCAGACCACAACAGGAAGTTACCAGACACCAAGAGTATTCTAAAAGAAAGAGGCTAAGCTAGGTGTGGTAGTGCCTGCTGTACTGTAGCACTCCGGGATCCCAGGACAGAAGGATCATAATTTTGAGCCCAGCTTGGGTGACTTAGTGAGACTCCATCTCAAAATTTAAAAAAAAGGAGCTGGACGTGGTGGCGCATGCCTGTAATCGCAGCATTTGGGAGGCGGAGGCAGGAGGATCGTTGTGAGTTGGAGACTAGCCTGGGCTACAAAGTGAGCTCAAGGCCAGCCAAACTGCATAGCGAGACCCTGTCTCAAAAAGCCAAAAAATAATTAAAAAGGCCTGGGGAGGGCTGGTAAGCGCCTGCCTGACAAGTGCAAGGTCATGAGTTCGATCCCCAGTACAGCAAAAAAAAAAAAAGGACTGGGGATTACGTCAGTGTGAAGGCCTTGGGTTCAATCCCTGGTGCCATGTGTGCGCGCACACACACACACACACACACACACACACACACACAGGAGCCTGTTATCCAGTATGTTAAGGCTGTGGTCCTTATTGAACAGATTTGACATCTGATACTTGGTAATATTTAGAAACCCTAGTTGCCTTTGGATATGAAGTTTTCAAAAAGTATGGTTCTCTTTGTCTGTGGTTATAGCATATGTTCTTATAGTTTATTCAAGGACAGGAATAAGTCTTCTTCTGTTAAGTAGTTTCTTCTAAATCAGAATGGAGACATTTGAAGAGTTCTTCCAACACCCAGGCTGAAAATAGCATATTGTCTTCCTCTCTAATTAACACATTACTGCCAGTTTGAACCACCTGTGGTACATCAGGTGGCATGGGACAGTCCTTCGGGTGGAACAAGCTGCTCAATGGAACAGTCGTGTGTGTGTGCCCCCATTGTGAATGTGTTAAAGTCATCCCAACAGTTCGCAAACAATGACCAGAGACTCGAAATGTAACCCCCCTGGGACTCATCAGAAAAACATCTTGAAGGAGCACTTAATAGCTGAGTGTGGTGGTACATGCCTGTAATCCTAGCACTTGGGAAGCTGAGGCGGGAGGATTGCTGCAAGTTCGAAGCTAGTCTGGACTACATAGTGAATTCAAAGCCAGCCTGAACTACAGAGTAAGACCCTGTCTCAAAAACCAAAAAAAAGCAAAAACAATCTGCACACACACATACATACACCCTTTAAAACTTACTTGCTCTTCCTACAGCTTCTTTCTATGACCAGGAGAATTTAGGTAATGTGTTGTGCTATTAAAAAAAAGAGGGGGGATATTTCATTAGATAGTGGAAACTGAGGTTTCTAAATATCACCTGGTATCAGATGATGAGCCTATCCAACAAGGACCAGAGCCTTAGTATACCTCCTCCTTCTTTTTTTTTGAGATAGGATCTCCTATATGGTTCGGGCTGGCCTTGTACTTACTGTGGAGCCTAGGCTGGCCTCAGCTCTTAATGATCCTATTGAGTGCTAGGATCACAGGTGTGCGTCACCACACCCAACCCTCCTGCCTCCTCTCTCCCCTCCTCTCCCTGCCTCCTCCCTCTTGGTGGTGGTATTATAGATAGCTGAGTTACATAGGAATATTATAGGCTGTCAGGTAGAGCTGGGCCCTCAAGAGAGTCAAGACAAAAGATGAAAACACACTAACAGTGGCCAGAGATGCATCAGTTGGAGGCTAGACCTCAACAACAGCCAGGCATAGTGGCGCACGCCTGTAACCCTAGCACTCAGGCTGAGGCAGGAGGATTGCCATGAGTTCAAGGCCAGCCTGGGCTATATAGTGAGTTTAAGGACAGACTGAAATGCTTAGTGAGACCCTGTCTCAAAAACAAAAAACAACAACAGCAAAAAAAAAAAAAAAAAAAAAAAAACCAAAAGACTAGGCCTACATACTCCCCAAGGGATGAGATAAATGATAACACCTGGTCTAATAAAATCTAGGTAGGTGTGATTCGCCTCAGTGGGCAACCAAGACCACTGGGTCCATCACTGGCCTGAGAAGTTCTTTGTTCTTTCCATGCCCACTCGCTCTGTGACTTGCTTCCCCATTGGATCAATATTACTTAAGTAGCTATGTTCATAATCTTATTGGTTGGTGATGGCTATGACCCATGTTGTACCCACATGGTTGTGCTCTATAAAACTTCCCCTGAGAAGCGGGGTCCTCAGGCAACCTGTGTTCCAGGTGTCTTCTGTCCCACACAGGCAGAGCTTTCTATCCTTCAATAAATATTGCCTACTCTTAAACTCTGTTGTTCCTAGAATTCATTCTTCGATTTTAGAGAACCTGACTCTGTGTATCAGATATCTAACAGGTTGGGAGATGTGATAATTCATTTATATCATACTTGGAGTTTCTGATATATCCTTGTGTTAGTGGTACTAGGAAATAAGCCTGGAAGAGCTATAGTTACCATAGTAATGTTGACTTACACAGCCCATGAGTCTCTTGAAGGAGTGGTCCACCAGCTACGTGTTGTGGTTTGAGGCTCTACTTAAGCCATGCTGTGAAAGTGACAGCTACAAAAGTGGGCATGAGCAGTGTTACTGAATACTAAGACCCTAGGTTCTTAGCAAAACTACTGTTAATACATACAGAGTTTTCAAGAATAGTAATAAGATGCTGGAGATGGTCCCCACATTTAATACCAAATACTTCAGAATAAAAATTGTTGGGCTAGAGTGTTTTATATTTACCATTTTTAAAGACTTTATTACCAAAAGAGTATACATGTTTATTATAGTGTTTTGAAAAAGTACAGAAACATACTAAGAACAGTTAAATGACCCATCAACCTAATGTAGGGAGAGAAAGAACTAAGGAAAGTTTTCTTTGAACAAATCTCTAGAAGTGGAATGCATGTTTTGTAAGGCTGATAAACTTTGCCAAGTTGCTTTTCACAAAGGTTCTATCAATCTGTGTTTCCTTTTAGAAAGTGTGAAAGTAAACAACATGATAAGCAGGCCTGTAATCCCAGCACTTTGGAGCCTGAGACAGGAGGATTACAATTTCAAGGCTAGCTTGGACTACAAAGCAAGTTCAAGACCAGCGCAGATAACTTAGTGACACTGTCTCCAAAAACCAAAAGAAAAAACCTATGATAGTTGTCTTAGTTACTTTTCTCATTGCTGAGACAGCACACCTGACACCCAAAGTTAAGGAGGGAAAGGTTCATTTAGCTCACAGTCTG